GGCCCATCACCACTGTAATCAGTGAAGGATACAGGACCATCTGCCTGGAAAACACCCTCCATTGCTGTTAAGCAAGTATCTTCTCCAACTGGCTCTAAGACATGGGAGAGGCAACTCTTGGCTTTGACAGTGCCTAAGAGATCTCTAGAATTTCTCATAGTAAGTGACAGAGGCAGCTGGGGCAAGTGGCTGGTCAGCCAGGAGCCAGACAGAAATAGGAGGAAAACCAGATGAAGAATTTGGATAGACAAGGAATTTCATGTCGTAAGTACGTACATACGGCCTCAGTTGCAATGTCAAAAATTCCTCAGTGCAAGCCCAACTTCTGCTAACAGCCCATTACAAATGAAACTTCGGTTATCTATACACCACCTTGTTGCCCCAGGAAAATACAACTTTGCAGAGCTGAACTAGCTGGATAGTTTGACAAATTCATTCATGTACAGGTGAGCCCAACCTCACATGATCAACTTGTTCATGGAGCCATTACTAAAACAATACTATACTGAACAGAATTATTTGGTTTAAAATTCCCATGTCTTCCTAGTCTCATGTTACAGACTGATAGACATGAAATCTCCCTGATCACGTTCAGTGGTGCTAACTACCAACCCGTTACATTCTCTATTCTCAACTAACATCATCTTTCCACATCTCCCTGTTTTTCAATTAGCCAGCAGCTCTTAATTTTCTTTTCTCTTAAATTCTTTTAAATCTGTCAGGGCATTTTTGAAACAAGGTGACCCAGAAGAGACACGGACACACACTGTGTCAGACACCAACAAGACAGAACAGCATAAAATAATATGGCCTAGATTTTATGCATATGGGGTTACAGCTCCGAGTGACCTCAGCAGAACACATACAGAGAATGACAGAAGCCTGGCTCGGGCGATTTGTCAAAGCCATCTCATAACCCCTTCACTGAGAAATATGGTAAATATGTTGAGAGACAGTGACACACACCCGGAAGCAACTCGTATTGTCTGGGCAATAATGGAGAATGAATTGATGCAGAGTGACTGTTGACACCTGAATTGGGTTGGTAATGATAATTCATGCATTTTAGCAGCAATAATGTCTTTTGTCTGGTCAGAGTGTTGGCGTTTATGTAATTTGTTATTTATTTTAAAGCCTAAAGATGAGGGGAAAAAGCCAGAAGTGTATTATGAATATGTAGAGAAAAGTGTACTGAATCCAATCAACAGGATTTACCAGCAAAACTGTCAATATACCATCTCCTCCTGGACTGGATTTTAAACGTATTCCTACTAAAATCTTGTCCCACAAACCTAGCCCTAAAGTAGGCACATGTCCAGGTTATGATCATTCTAAAGTCAACAAACTTCCTTAATTCAGATGAGACCCACAGGTTCATGTAGCAGTACCCCAAGCTAACACAACATGGGCTTCTCTGTGAGCCACTAATTAAGGATAACATTGTCTGTTTCAGGAAACTTGCCATGCAAGTGCCACCACAAAACAAACAAACAAAAATCTTGATCAAATGTCAGGTCCTGCCCCTGGGCCACAACCACCCCCTGCAACACCACAGACTTGAGGACGAAAGGCTGGAAAGGTGCCCAACGGAAAAGGACCTGGGGGTGTTGGTCAATTGCGGCTGAACATGAGCCGGCATGTGCCCAGGTGGCCAAGAAGCCAACGGCATCCTGGCCTGCATCAGGGACAGTGTGGCCAGCAGGAGCAGGGCAGGGATCGTCCCCCTGTGCTGGGCACGGGTGAGGCCACACCTCAAATCCTGGGGTCAGTTTTGGGCCCCTCATAGCAAGAAAGACACTGAGGGGCTGGAGAGTGTCCAGACAAGGGAACAGAGCTGGGGGAGGGTCTGGAGCACAATTCCTGTGGGGAGCGGCTGAGGGAGCTGGGGGGGTTCAGCCTGGAGAAGAGGAGGCTCAGGGGAGCCCTTATTGCTCCCTACAACTCCCAGAAAGGAGGTGGCAGAGAAGGGGTTGGGGGTGGTGTTGGTCTCTTCTCCCAGGGAAGAAATTATAGTACAAGAAGAAACGGCCTCAAGTTGCACCACAGGAGGTTTAGATTGGATATTAGGAAAAAAATTCTTCCCAGAAAGGGCTGTCAGGCATTGGAAGGGGCTGCCCAGGGGGCGGGGGGAGTTAAC